AAAGTCTGTTGTCCCCCCCCCCCTCCTCCCCCTCATCCCCCCCCCCCCCCCCACCCGCTGTAAAAACGAGGATTTAAAGACTGAGAAAATGTAAAAACAAATAAAACTGTTTGGTCTTAATGGAACAGCAGTTAAAGACTGAAACTGAAATGTGTCTCCACATTTCTGCACTGATTGGAGAAGAAAACCACCCAGTGCTCAGACATATGCTAACAACATTGTCACAGTGACTGGAAAAACAATCTGATGAGGTTCAGGCTGTTATATGATCAGTGGTGGAAGGTAGACACACTGTGGTCAACAGATGGATGACAAAATATAATATGGAAAAACCTCAACAATCCAACCAACATCCATCCAGCTGTCCGTTCATTGGTTCATAACATAAAGTGCTCTGTTCAGGATCTTTAGCCTTATCCGACCCCATTTTTAAAAAATAATAATTTAATGTGCCCAGTCTGGAGATCGAACCCAGGGCCAAAACCTGTCACCATCCCCTGAGCCAACCAGCAACTTGTTTTACAACGATGAAACTCATACATGTTTTCAAAGGTCAATGTTGCAAAGTTAACTATTAAACTTTAGTTAGGAAAATGTTGACAATTTTTTAAATAGTTAAGAATTTATGGTCTTACTCCAGGGTCTTTCACAGGGTCCGTTGTTGACAAACACTCCATGTTCTGCCGTCAAGTGCTTGAAACCAAAGGAGAAGATGAAGAAGTCGAAGGAAGATTGTTCCACTTTTTCAGTTCCGTCTTTATTGGCATCAGTGGTAAACTGAATAAATGTGAACGCTCTCAGACCTGAGGAAGGGCTGATTTAAAAAAAAACAAAACACCTCCCTCTGCTTGCATAATGTCTGCAATGAAAAGAGTCAACAAATAATGACAATAATAATAACTTAAAATGTGCAAATCAGAGGAGTTTTAGTTACTCTGATTAAATACTGTACAATATATTCTTTGCTTAAAAATACTGCAATGATCAACACGTACCTGCAACGCTAAGATGTTCAAACATTTTTCTCCTTCAACACAACATGCTCATCCTGTAATTGCTGACACGTGTATAAAAATAAGGACAGTTATAGGACGACTGTTAAATGAACCTGTGACGTTGTCTATCACAGATAGCCGTGATCACAATCCTGGATGAGAGAATCAAAGTGAACAGCATGCAGCAAATGTGAATTGTGTGGATGAAAACACAGCTTCTCATTCAAGTCTAGTGCTAATGCTACATTAAGGGAAACTAAGGAGTGCAGTTGAGACACTTGTCTCTTCATGGTCATTTGTGCACACAAACCTACAAATTAGGTGTTTACTGAAGCATGTAGAGCCAAAAGAAATGAGAATTCTGACGTACTTTTTCATTAAACAAATATATATTAGATAATAAATAAAAAAGAAATACAAGTCATATATATAAACATATATATATATATATATATATATACCGTGTATATTTATATATATGCATATATGTACTGTATACTATAATAGTCTAAAATGTTTTCGTATAATTGTATTGTTTTGGGAGACACATCACTGTGCAGCACTACATCATTTAAGTGGTGACAAAAAAAGGCTGTTGTATGATTTGTGTGTACAAATTTAAATAAACCAAACAGTCATGACACAATTCAAACAAGCACACAAATGAAAATTACCAAACATAATCATCAGCAAAGAACTTGAACTTGTTATCCCTTATATTCTTATGCAGCAAAGAAATTATGCAAAGAACAAAAATGTTTTCTATAGACAACTGACACATCAGTGCATTTCTTTTTACTACTGGCTTGTTTAGTTTCAGGCTTTAGAACCAAACCTGCTTCATACAGGTGATGGACAGCTCTCTGTGATCCACGCTTCCAGGTTTCAGTTCAGGATCACAACCATTTTTAATAACATAATTCCTTTTTAATGGTAAATGCTTGATTTATTGCTTGTGAAAATGAAGAGACAGGAAAGTTGAGTGAATGAGAGCTGCATTCAAATCAGTTTACCAGAGAAGAAAGGAAGGCACAGTAAAAATGATTGAAAAAATAAATAAACGTAAAATAAATAAAGCAGCAGCCAGGTTTCCATTCTGGATAGTCAAATTTTGAAATTTGTAAATGAAAAAAGTTGTCGTGTTTTAGCCAGAGTCTACGAGAAAGTGTCTGGAATTTAACCGACATCTTAGCCACTGTAATACTTTTCTATTTATACTAAAAATTCAATTCAGAGCAGAAAATATAGATTTGTTTTCTGTCACATTCAAGTGCACCAGCTGAACATCTGCACTGAGGTCGCAGCAGGACAGCTTAGCTCAGTTTTTTACTTTCTGTCTGGTGTAAAATCAATTAATGAAAAATATTGATATTTTACTATAAGATTGATATTTTGATTATAATCCTTCATCGGTCCAGATGGAAATACAGCTGTGTTGATGAACGTAAGCAAATGTGAACAACAGTGATTCCAGACACACAAAGAGAAAGCAGTGGGTCCCAAAGGCCATCTAAGGTTGCATAGAAATGCTAAAAGCTAAAGCTGCTATCAGGCTCGATAGATTATGCAGGAATAAAGCGCAGCAAGGAGTTAAATCACACAGGAAAGGAGAGGGGAGAGAGGAGAGGCAACAATGAAAAGTTACAGTATTTTACTGTCCCTGGTATTTTACAGTCAAAGGGAAGAAAACTGTGCCCAGCCTGAGCGAGTGCGTATTAAATTCACATTTACACCAGGAAACACTGATATCAAAACTCAGGCAGACTCAACGACTCAATGACTCCGAGTGTGAGGAAGTGAAGATGTCACGAAACAATGGAGCGGAGAGAAAAAGTAAAACATCTTGGGTCGATCGCTGGAGTTAAATCCAAAATTAGCCTCAAACATTTCCCTCAGTTTGGGTTCAGTCAAATGAACCGCATTTAAAGTGGTCACTCAGAAAAGAAAAAAAAAAATCAATAAATAAAAGGTAAACTGCTACATTAAAATAAGACAGAATTCCCAACATGAATGGAGTCACTTTTAGATCAAATACATTATATTAATTTCTAATGTAAACATGAAGATGTCAGATTTTACACTACTCTCAGCCTGTTACATGTTCTGTAAACACTCTTTTCTAATCAGGCAAAAATGTGATAAATCCAAATAGTATCACAAGGATTCAATTTGAGAATTAAATTGTTCAAATCAGAATGAAAACTATTCCAGTTATTATGATAGAAATGTGGATGAATTTTTCCAAAAGCTTGTAGCAGTCACAGGTAGGTAGTTGTGCTCTAGAGTGTGCAGAAAAATCAGAATTTGTGACTCAAGAAAAATGTAATTAGTAAATGTTCAGCATGATGCCTGTTTGTCTTTTAACAATAGGTCCCTTTTTTAAATTGCAGTTTGCAACTTAATTAACTAACTTAATTAATGTGAAAAATAAGGTCTAAAACAACAATAAATTAATCTTTTTCTTTCAAGTCATTAACTAGTCTGTAAACAAAGACTAAAACCAACCATACTTTCCCAGAAGGTTTTCCATTTCTTGATCCTGCAGACATTTTCACTTCAGGCTGAAACATCCTGTAAAATTGATCTTTTTTATGGTCCACTATAAACTGTTTCTTCTCCATTGAGGGTGATCTCCAATCAGGAGAAGGCTGTTCGGCTCCTGCTGTGGAAAGTGAACACACAGAAGTTCATGGTGTGATGAAGACATGAGGGATGAAACTGACGTGTGGAGACGTTGGACTGAAAACAACAAGAGTCTGTAAAGCCTGTTGCAGCAAATCTCCAGTGGTTTTCTCCCTGCTTTTTACATACAGAACCAACACGTGTGTGTGTGTGTGTATGTGTGTACGTGTGTACGTGTTTTTGTGATCAGACACACATCAAATTGCAATCCTGACGAGCCATCAGGTTCTCTGAGCTTCTTCTCAGACATAAACTGTCGGGGATTGTATCCTGGAAACACACAGATCAAGAAGTCAGGGGTTCATCCAGCATCCAAACCTGGCAGCCGCTAAGTGTTACGGCTGTTAAATGCCTGCTTGTGACTCTGTGTGTGTGTTTTGTGAGTTGTTCAGGTGTCTTGGAAGGGCTGGTGGAAACACCCAGGGCTGTCGTCATCGGGCGACCAGAAGGATGACGGCCTCTTGTGGTGAAGTTCTCTGCGAACGCATCGAGGGCAGGGCTGAGCCTTCTGTCGACACTCCGTGTGGAAAACAGCGCCGCAGCCGTCGCATCTGCAAACACCACCGGGATAAAGACTTGGTGCTTCACAGAGAGAATCCTCTTATATTATTCTGAAGGACAGGTCTGTCTACTGGTTACTTTAAAACTGATTCACACCAGAAATTCACGAGGGTGCAGGAAAAAACAACTTTGTATTGGAAAGTCTTATCTTGTGAGCCTCAAATAGCCCTGTCAAATATACAGCTATCTGCTGCAAAACATGAGGGGCACTTGTCCAACTGGGCCCTCCACAACGTCCTCCACTCACACGCCTGTTTTAAAACTTTGTCTACTTCTGTATGTCCCAGACGTTCAAAAGTATACTGTAGCATACGGGGCAGTGGTGGCTTGGTCGTTAAGGAAGGGGACTTGCGTCCGGAAGGTTTCGGGTTCGAGTCCACCAGCTACCAAGTTACCACTGAGGTGCTCTGAGCATGGCACCGTCCCCACACACTGCTCCCTGGGCGTTTAAGCTGCCCACTGCTCACATTTCGTTGTGTCCAGCGGTGTGCTGTGTCACAATGACAAATAATTCACTTTCATAAATCTGATAAATATTAGTTGAAATGTAACAAAAATAACTGCAGGTTTATTTACTGATGCTCAAATGTTTACCACAACATTTGAAAAGAGAAAAAAAGAAGATCTATCAGTCTGGAATCTCTTTCCATTGCTCCAATCTTTATGATGCCTGGCAACAGTAAACATTTGTTAAATGTTGTTAAATCTATTTTATTTTTATTAATTTTTTTTACCTTTATCTAATGGTACCATCTGTGTTTGCTTGTCAAAAACTGGATCAACTCTGAATGTACAGTAGATGCAGCTGTTATCAGTTTACACTTAGCACTTACTACACAAGCCATAAAACACAACTCAACAAGGTGTGTGTGTGTGTGTGTGTTTAAGAACAGTCCATTTCCCTCAACAGCTCAGAGTCTTCCCGTAATCGGTGTTGATCAGCTCCTATCATCCTGCTGTCTGTCACTCTGAGTGTCATTGGTGGAGACAAAGTTCTGGACTCTGTTAACTGTCCATGTCATAAAAAAACTCCTTCCAGTCACTCAGCACATACTTACACTGTGTCAGCATAACGGGCATGACAACAGGCTCAGTTCAACTGGCCAAACGACACAGGACTTCATCAGTCTAATATTATCACTAAAGGTCATAATGACTGATGTTTGTTGATGTTGTTGGTGTTAGCAATACATTACAGTCACAGAGTCAGCTTTAACCCCAAGCCCTTGTATTTTCCCATAGAATAAATATTTATTAAATGCTAATTTCTCATATCAATAACAACAAAGGTATGTTTGTATTGGTGTCTTGACTATGGGACATTTGTTTTCTAGTTGAGTCCAGTACATTCATCATCACGTTATTAAGGTTTCGTTACTTTGTTCACTCAACTTGGGGTTTGTCCAGGCGCAAACATGCATTTGGACCAGAGGGAGCTGAAATCAAACACCCAACCTTTTGCTGGAACATGTGTATTGTTACAAAATTCATCTGAAGTCAAGAAAGGCTAAAATAATCAAAGTTAATGCTTCATATTTAAGCTAGGTCTTGAATAACATGTAGCGCTTTGAGCAGTTTTATAACGTATTTAAGTCCATTATTGGTAGTCAATGTGTCCTGTGAATGTTTGAATGGTTAATTCCTCTGGGGTTGGGGGTGGGAAAGGTAAAGTAAAGAGTCTTGTGTTTTATAAACAGGTTCTTTCAGGTTTACTCAAGAAAAACATGCTCAAAGTATGCTCAAATACGTTCCTCAAAACACGTCACTGCATTTTGAAGAAGCTCTTCAGAACTGTTTGAGCATGACGCTTTCTTAAAGTAGACCAAACACGATACTGAATTGTCTAAACTTTTAACTAACTACATCGATTAAACCAATTAAATTGGAAACGTCTGTGATCAGTACCAGAAGCTATGTGCCTTTAGATGAAGGGACCAAAAACTAAATGTTTATAGTCACTGATCAAGATTTATGTGTTGGCCTGTGAGTGCGTGTGGTAAGGGGAGAGTGCAGCACCAGTGCTGGGAAAAAGTTCCAGTTTATAAAGAGAAAAATGCCAAAGTAATGAAGTAATGCACTTGGATGTATTTTTCTGAGCAAGTAACTACAATTAAAATGAGAGATTCCTTAAGGTGAAGTGTTTGAGTGTGGAAAAAAAGTTCCAAGTACCTGAGAACCTTTTTACACTGCACAGAAATAATTAGAATAAAAGTTCCTGGAATTTCACTAATTCAGAAAACCAGGCAGCAAGAAGGAAAAAAAAGGACCATTTGGTTCTGAAACGATTTAGTGTGAATATAGTGTGAGGTCTTTGTGCATAGCCGAGGCTATTGACCACAGCTTTGACCTGACATTTAAAGAACCTGATCTGGTGTCAATACCTTTTAGTGGCATTCTCCTGGAACGGGTAGATGACCTGTCCATTCTGGCAGAGTTCGCAGATAAATCCTTTCTCTCGACACAAACTGCAGCTGAAAACATGGGAGCTGGCAAATTTGATTACTTTAGACAGGAAGGGCGCTAATTTTCCATCAATCACCTGGAGATAGGCAGAAAAGAGGTGAGAAATAAATGAATTAAAATCAACTTCACATGTTATTAAATGGGTCATTTACTGTATGTGCTTTACATTACATGTAAAAAATGACTGCATGGTAAAGATATAAAATCAGTGCAAATAAAGACAGGTAACACAGCAAACACTTTGAAGGCAATGTTCCTTAAGAACTAAGAGTGGAGGTTTACTGCATGTTCTGCGTGAATATATGTTAATGAATAGACAGTAAAGTACTCACTGAAAACAGTTAGAACGAAATTAATTTGGAATTAGTCAGAAATGTAAGTCTAAATATGGTAAAAAAAACTGCATGTAAGACACATTAAGAGAAAATATAACAGTAAAAGTAAAAAAAAAAAAAGGAATAGTAGAGATACAATATACAAGAGAGATCTTGAGGGAGAGCAAGAGCCTGCATTCACATACAAGTGGTTCCACCTGGCAGAGCTCTGGACCTCCCAATTATAACCTCCTTCATACTGTTTGTTAGAGGAGGACAGAGGCAGAAAAGGAGGACATAAGATGAAGTGTGGAGGAAGAAACCAACCACACACAAACAGGAGACGAACTGAACTGAGAAAAACTGAGCCAGTTTACAAAAAAACATACATAAGATGACCAAAGATGATGTAAGGAGATGAAACACATCGACTTTTTCTTATTCACAATCATCAGGTGTAGGACTTAAAATAATGTTATAATATTATAATGCCAACTGTCTTTCACAGGCTGAGTTCAGACGGACAAAAGGGTGACAAATATGTCTCCCCAAACCCAGCCTACAACAAACCTCTGTAGACCTGCTCAGTCCAGTCCAGTCCAGTCTACATAACAAATGGCTCCTCTGATGGAAGGTGACAGCCCCAGTAATTAAAGCTCTCTGTAATTGGACTGAACAGAATCAAGTGACAAGCAGAACAGCTCTGGTAGTTGACTAGGACTCTGGTGGGACACAGGGCCAGACAGACGGAGGCAGGAAGATGGATGGAGGGTGACACCAGTAAATGCACCAATGAAAAGAGGCGAATGCTAATAGAATGAAAATGGCATCTAAATCAAATCTAGATTTGTCTGGGTGCTGGGAGTGTTGGGAGCCTGCAAGCCATTTTTCAGAATAAAGTCAAGTACAATCACTCTCCAACACTGTGATTACTAATATCTCTGAATTTACAAATCTTACAAAGATTTCAATTTTTTTTTTTAATAATTGAATTTAAGAATGTTGAGGTCAGAAATTTGCTGCCAATTTAAGTCCACTTTCCGTAATCTATTCTTTTAAATCCATGACAGGTTTTCAGGTCTGTATTTAAAATAAAAAACATAAAAATAAAAAATGAACCCATAAGTTTTCAGTCGAGGTTTCAAGCCAGAACGACTGATATTTTCTCTGTGGTTTGTCAATGTCTATTGCTTGTTCTTTTCTCTGTGTTTACGGTTGCCAAGGTCAATTACTTAAAAGGTAATATGTTTTAATTAATCAACAGACCCCACAGAAATACTATGTGTGTATTACGTGTACTTACTGTAACAATAACTTCTTCTTGTGCATTAACATCTTCTACATTTAGTTGGTCATAATATTCTGGAGCAGCCCATATTTCACAGCCCGCAGATGGATTCAGAGACCACACCACACACTTCACTTCACCTCCATCCATCCATCCACTCTAACTCCTCCCCCTCCAGTTCAGCCCTTTTCTCTGCTCCTCGACGAGTCTTTGTGCCCCAAACCCTTCTAATCCCCTAAAACTGCTGTTTAACAGACGTTCGCCTGCCCTCAATTCTCTCCCCGTTTCTCTCTCTCTCTCTCTCTCTCTCTCCTGGTCGCTCACATTAGCACAAAAACACACAAAAAAGCAGCTCCATTCAGCAACTAGACAGCCAGCTGGGATTACATGGCTGGAAAGACCAGGGTGAGCCCTGTTTGGATAACACTCTCTTCTCAAACACACACACACACACACACTGAAGACTTGATGTACTTTAATTTGGTCGTCAGTGTTTCCACTCTGGAGTCTGTCTGATTTGGGGATTCCCAACATTGTTTAGAAATGTAGCAGATGAGAAAATGGGCGTGGAGATTTAAATAAAACGTAATGAAAACAAACAATTCAAAGAGAGTGGAGGCCATGTTTATGAACCCCTGTTCTCCAAAAGCAGGTACCCCTTAAAACTTATAACAATAAAAATAAATAAATAAATAAATAATGTTTCTATGACACAAACGAACCCGGATCAATGCCTGCAACATAATCCAAAACAGTTGGTATTTACACAACTGGGTCAAAGGTCAATTGTTATTAAGACCATTTTCATTCACTAAGAAAATGGAATTGCAAAAAAATTGCATTTTTTTAAGTAAAAGTTCTGCTCATTCTTGACGACAGAACAGTCCGTGTTTGCCATCCTCTGATTGTGATATGCTAAATGTTTCATTCGGCGACAAATCTAAGCAGCTCCAAGCTGAATAAAGGCTGTGTGAGGAAGCTGAAAACATTTGTGATAACAGTCACTCGGCTACTCTGCATCAGGACAAGTGTTAGTGGAGAGGAATGCCTGGCATAAAGGGAATACCAGGGTGTCACCGTGGGAAGGCTGCTGCAGACATAGACAGCTACTATCCCATCTATCCTTAGTCATCGCAGAAAAGCTGTAAACCCAGCAATGAAAAAGGGCAGAGTGCCCTTAAACAAACACATATGTTTTCTGCAAAATGAACTAGTTCCTAATGAGGGACATGGGTGGAGGCTATTTGTCAGGGGGTGAATAGACTAGTGTGGACTAAGGTTTAGCCAGGGGAGTTTAGCCTCCACTGACCTCCGGGCTGGAACAAAAAAAGCCACATTGATTAAGAGCGTCTTTTTATTCAGGAGGTGAATCAAAAGAAACAAGCTTGTTAATATGGAAAACCAATTAAGAGGAAGAGTGCTTGAAAATCTCCAGGAGGGGCGAGAGTCGTGGCTGTTAGAGGGGGGAGGAGAAAAAGAGGGAGGCAGTGCCGCTCAAGTTCTGCTGAAGACACCTTTTGTTGAATTTGTACTAAAACACTAATTTGAAAAGTTTGTTAGTCACAGTGTTTAGAAAGTAAACAAAACGAAGAAGACCCCCCCACACACACACAAGACACGTAGGTTCCGAGTGTGTGAGGCCAAAGGGATGTTGAGAAAAATGCAGGGATGTCACGCTTTGTTTTTCTGCCTGTTGATTCTGAATGTGCCCAATTAGTGAAGCAGAGGGACACAGATTGTGGGAGTGAGTGGGGGAGAAAGAATGGAGGTGGGTGGAGGAGGGGGGGCAACCTCTTTCACTGTGAGACTCTGTGGCTGAGTTGGTGGGTAGGGGGGCAAGGGGAGGTTAAAGAAAAAATGGGCAGAGTACAACATAATGAACATAATGACAAACAAAGGAACTTTTGAATCATTTGTCGTCACTTTCCTGTGAGCGGACCCCTCCCCACACTCAGTGTTGAACTGCTAACTCAAAACTGTAGTGTGTAACTTCTGTTGTTCCTCTGAGGAATTTTGGGTAATTACAAATTACTGACAGTGCCCATTATATTAGTCAATATCATTAGTGTGTGAGTTTCAACAGGGTTATATGTGTGTTAGCAACACTGCACAGATGTTCAATCAGAGGAGCAGGTTCAAGTTTTTAAAATGTTTTTGTTTCAATTACTCACACATTAAATTTGTTTTTTATAGTAAATAAGTGTGTGTAGTTGTGTGTTTGTACCTGCTGCAGATCTGCTATGGAGTACAGGTGAATATGTTGCAGTAGATATTCCCTGGGGAAGATCCTGTAAAAGACAAGACAGGTCTTTAGTCTTTAGGTAAAAAAAATCTGACACTTTTAAACCAACTGTTAAATGAGTTAAACTATTGTATGGTCTCAACTAAATGTTCAAAAACATTTTGTCTCACACTCAGCTAAACTAAACTAGCAACAGCAACTATTCAGTAAATGCATTCAAATGGTAACATTCAGTGTTATCATCCTCACAAAAAATATATAATATATTTCTTTGTGATTATATTTAGATAATCACAAGCATTCCACAGCACGTTTTACCACAAAAATTTACCAAAAGCAATTACAAGTTAGCTAAATATATATCAATATAGCAAGTTACCAAAATTCCCAGCCAAAATAAATCACAAAGCCAAAGTATCCTAAACAACAATCAACATATGACATAAAATGTCAAATTTCCTTAGCAATACATTTTTCTGTATTTATATTTAGAAAAATAGCAGGAATATTAAAGGTTTTGCTTCATAGTAAAATAAATTGCTCTTGAAATAATAACATGTTTAATTTTCCACCCAGATTCCAACATGCAGGCGAGGACATTTCTGAAACCAAATAATCTAAACTATATATAGAGATGAAAACATGATCACACATTCTAGATAAATATAGGCCACAAAGAAATACACCAGTGTAATGGTTAACAAGCAGTTGTTCAGTCCAAGCTCCAAAAAGTATGATCATAATCTAGAGTCAGTAACTTTCCATCTGCTGACATCAGGTGACAAAGCAGTGTGTGTGTGTCGTACTCTCAGACAACTAAGATGTATGGCACCATGTTAAATCCTTGCTAAGCTCTGATGAGTGTCAATGATGTGTATGTACATATATATATACATACATATATACATATTCTTGTGTGTGTGTGAGAGAGAGAGAAGAGAGAGAAAAACCCAGCGCCTCCTGGTGAAAGGCACCGCCGATAAACTACTATATTTGGCTCATATCCAGTGGTTACCACATGAGTATTCATATGAAAACACACACACACACACACACACATGCGCGTACGCACGCACACACAATCACACACACACTCTGGGCCAGCTTTCAAACAGACCCACACATACAGTACAAACACAGGCGCTGGTGATTGCGCAGACAGGACACACAGAAGAACACACCCTTGAAACGTGTGCTAATCTTGATAAAAGCACTTGAGAGGAAACACATTTTGGGATTAGATGTCCATGAGAGGACACCCAGGCAAACATGCTAAGGACGGAATACTACTATTTTTTTTGTCCCATTTCGCCTTACAAAAATAGAAGTTTCTCCACCTGATGACACGCCTTTTGTTTAAATTGATGTAATCCCTCAGAGATTATGGCTATTTACTGAGGGAGGCACTCGTTGTTCAAATGAGGGGGTGTAACAACAGGTGTGGACTGGTTGAGGAACAAACTGTGGGTTTGCACCTCTCCAGAGTACAACCCAAATGGTGTGTCAGGACCATAAAAGTGGGTCACATGTCAAACTGTGGTGGTGTCCAACAGAGAAAGATAGTTAACTGGGGGTGGCTGTAAGAAGTACATAAGGTGGTGGTCTTACAACTGGAGGGATTCCAAAGTACAGAAAATGGAACATAATACCAATTTCATCCAAATTTGATAAACTGGGAATTTTACTGGACAAAAAGTGTGTTGCAAATAAATTAATTTTAAAAATGACAGTAACTTTATATTATTATATCATTATCACGTAATCCAATCCATTGAGACGGCCCCGTTAAATAAAGTGAAAATTAAGTATTTATGAACACACTACCTCCACAAGGTCAGATTGTAAAAAAAAACAGTTCCAGTCCAATAACGTGGTTATCAGTTTGGCCTTGTAAACTGCACACACATTAACTGATAGCTTTATCGTTGAGGACTAAGGAGAAGCTTTGCTGAATGTCGCCATTAAAATAACAGAAACAGCTTTGTGTCCATGCAACATGTCAAGGTTTTCTTTGCAAAAGTATCATCAAGATGTGAACTTCAGATAAATATCTAGGGTAGTCCAGGGTTTAACGTGGACATGGGTGTGAAACTGAGACCACAACTCTGTGTCTGTGTGCAGCAGACAACTCTTTAAATTCCTCCTGAAGCAGACGGATGACCACGGGAAGGTTTTAGCGCCATGGCCCTCATCAATCCTGCAGTGTTTGGAAGTGGCAGGGCACTAGTCGGTACTAGTTAATGGGGCAGAAATAAACACAGAACACCAAGGTGGTGCTCTCCTCTGCTGTGCTTTGCACCACATGACTAATAACGTGAGGTTTTAGGACAGATAAGACACTGAGAAAAGTAAAATCAAATTACGCAGATGTGACATTGATTTCTTCAACAAAAAAACTGTAAATGTTCAGTTCAGTACCTACAGGTGCATCTAAGTGAAATCCTTTTTAATCCACATTTAACATAATTTAAAGTTCTAACATAGTTCGGAAAAAGTGTCCAGCCCCAAAGGCTGTTTACATCAACACAAACATGTTGCAGGTACTGACTGATGCTAAACAGAAAATAACTGAACCTTAGCAAAACTACGATAGTGGCAAACTACTGCCAACATAACAGGTGATGTTATAAAGAAAAACTCAGGTTGACTTTTTTTGGAGGATCCTGAAGTATTAAGGCTAGATTAATTACACTGTTGTAAAAAAAACAGAACAATGAACTGCTTAACCCACTGACGTCTCAAAGCGAAAGTCTCTCGGGTGTTGCTTTAGGGATTTAGTGAGCACAGCAAACAACTGATACTTTTGAAAAGAATGACAACATTATCACCATTACATTTCTTGCATGTATTTGCCACAAATTTGTTAACTAAAAGAAAACAGTTTTGCCTGGCAGTGTATAAACAACAACCAGCTTTGCTGAATCTTCTGAGAGATCTGTGCGGCTCAAACTAAACATCCCTGATCACAATTTAGACAATCAAACGTGCTGACAGTCCATAACCTGGCTTAGTTGGATTTAACAGTGAGCTGAAAACATGTCTTCAAACAGAGATTTAAGGCTGATATGTGTGTGATTTAACCATGTTTTTTTTAAATGTGTGATTAGAAAATCCTTAATCAATAATTCTTGTCCATGTTTATTGGTAGGTTACCATGTTTACCAAAAAAAAAAACATGAATCAACTTCTAGTATATTTATTTTGGTGAGTGATTATATCTTAGACAGAGTCCATCAGATCTGTTTTAATGACCTGCAGTAAGGCAAGGAGCATCCATCAGCTCGCAGACATGGCTTTCAGAGCGGGGAGTCCTCTCAGATAAACACTCAGCCCCCTCCCACAACCACACACATGAACATACACACACACAGACGCACATCTTTTATGTGAGGAGGAATGCATGCAGATAAAAGTTATGGCAGTGTACACACATGCACTCAGACATAGCCACATAAACACACTTGCGGTTCATGCGAGGAGACGTTAACAGCCGGGGTAATGAAGAGTCTGGTCATCAACAGAGGTATAATAATAAATATTTAGGTTCATGCGTCAGGTTGACTGATCACACAGGCCGTCATTGGTAAAAATAAAAGCCAACGCTTCCTGTGGGCAGCAAAAGACTTTCTGAACAATGTTGTCATGTTTACTGACAGTGGTGACCTATATCCGCTTTCCTACTTGGGAGTAGATGTGTATGTGTTATGCCCCTAACATTAGTTTGTTGATGACAACAAGAAGTGTCACAACATGAATACTATTAAAAGGTAAAGACTGAAGAATGCTATTTCTGAAGAAATGGAAGCATGATCCACTCAGTGTTGTAGTGAAGTCCTAACACTCTGGATTAAAGTCAGAGTTAAAGTCAGGAAAGAAAATTAAATGTGCAGTTAATCCATCAGAACCTCAGAGGAACCAACAGGTAAAACTGATACGATAAGAAGAAGTTTAGGTTAGCTTTGATCAAACTGGTTGGGGTCGACTTTTCGACATTTTGCTGACATCATATTCCTCACAGCCACCCTCACACTCAGTTTACCTTCGTCTGAGATCCTCAGCCACGGTTGCTCGGCAGCTGAACAGGTAGGCGCGCAGTGACTGCAGCTGTTGGCGCAGACGTAGCACGGTGCTGAGAGGCTCACAGTGTTCGTATAAACAAGGGTTGAGCTGCTGGATGTCAAGCAAAGGCTCTTCGTACACAAACTCCAGAAATTCTTTGGCCTGTTTGGAAACCTGGAGAAGCACGTCAGGTTTTATTAGAATCAAGCTTTTCATCAAATGAAATCTAAAGACACTCTGGGACAAAGAAAACTGCGCGGGTTTAACTTTGATATATTACATCTTAGGATATTGTGATCATTTAAATTTCTTTCCTCCCACCTTGTGCTTACTGGTGTCCCAGTTGTGCAGCAGACGAGCAGGGATGAGGAAGGAGTTGTCCTGATGGCAGCTCTGACAGTAGTACCAGCCGCTGTAGTAGCAAACTTTAGCCTTTCCTCTGGATAGGCCGACTGGACGCTGACAACCTGAGAGGCAAAAGAAAGGTGGTGGACTTGAGTATGATTTTGTTTTTCATAACCAAACATGCCACTTCAATGTTTAATGTTTTAATGAAGTAAAAACAAATCTGTATGAAATGGTGTTCTGATGAACTCAAACCTGCAAATTAGGCCATGAGTTGAAACTGACACTTTGAGGTGTCAGCAGTCTGCTAACACACGCCGTTAGGAGTCTTTATCAAAGAATGCAAAGGTTGTAGGGCAAATAACTTGGGTGTTAATATGTGTTAGTTTACTGCCTCTCTCTAAATACCACTGTAATCCTGCCAAATAAACCTGTAGATAATAAACCAGGTTTAAAGTGCAATCAGAATAACTACCTACTGCCCCGAACTTTGATTCCTTAAGACACACTTTGATACTACTTTGACAACCATAAAATTGTATTTGAATTTGGTATTAAATTCTAAGAAAACAACTGAAAACGAATTACTTTTAAGACATCAACACCAAACTTAAACTCTTCTGGCACATTTCATCTCAACTAATCCCTCAGACAACAGACTGTTGGTTCTTCCACCAGTCAAAACAGATGATTTCAGGACAAAAGTGTTTTCTAGAATGAAAAGACCAACAGCTCATCTGCTCCATTCATCAGGATCACTGCCCCACTATCTGCTTTGTCTGCCAGACCCTTCAAAGTTCATTTTCACCCAAACACACTAGCCACACACGTACACACGCAAGTTGAATACCACAGCACTGCAACAGGTGTCCCTTATCCACACAATCTGAGAGGAAGAACACGGGGCCTGGAGGAAAACAGCGAGTGAACAGTGGTGGAGAAGAAAAGAATCAGGTGACTTTTATCTGGGGTTTTAAAAAAAAGTATGACAGCTAAAGGTGGACGTGTGCAGGCCTGTTTGTTGGTGCTGCCGCACAAATACAAGACGGAAGTGAAAAAAGGTGAAAATAAAAAAAGAGGACAGAACTTGTAAAAAAAAAAATATCAAGAGATCAGGGGAAAAAATTTAATGAAAGAGAAACAGCATGAGATCAAACAAAGGAGAGATGAAGGCAGACATAAAAAAGAAAGCATTCCAGGAACTTTTCTATCACAGACAAAAATCAACAAAAAACACAACGGTCTAATCAGCACTGAGAGCTGCTTTGTCTGACCAGAAGGGAAAAATGTTTTTCAGTATAATTACCAGAACTCTTGGTTATTTAATTGATTAAGACTAGGGCAGAATCAATATGCATTTAACAATTTCCCATTGTCAATGCCCTTATGGAATCTTACCATGCTACAAAATAGCATCAATACTGTACTGTGAAACAAAATATTCCAGTATATAAATATTTTCTGACACCCCAGTCTTTACATTAGTGAAGAAAACTCCACTTGTTTGTTTTCCATGCTGGATTGCATTCCTTACAGTAGGAAAAGCACCAACCTTCATACATTTGGATAAGTAAAATGTTACCAGCTAAATTTTTAAGACAGAACAGAACCAGTAAGGCATCTGATCAAACAGCAAACCAATCCCAGTTGGCCCGAAAATGTGGTCTGGTTAAATGAACAATCAAAAATAAAATGCTTTAATCTATTAATTATCCGCTTCCACTTTCTCTACTGTCCACAGCTTGTACAAAAGGACCTTTGTGTTCCCTTTGGTTGAAAATACGGCTTGTGGCTGAAATGGAAAAAAGTTTTAGTTTACTGAAAGGACCATGATCATATACATATGTTTAACTCAGGCTTAGGTGGGCTAATTATAGCAGTGAGCTCATGCCGTTGTTGGGGTGGATGCTCTTTTAACAAACCTCAGACCACTGGTTGGGAGCCAGCAGGCAGTGGAGATGGTCACCAGTCAGAGAAACACTGTCACTTCAAGGAATCAACTGACCACCAGGGCGTCTTTCAGGCCAACTCTGGCCTCAAATTTGGTCTGTTGCTCTTGGTCCAGAAGAACAAAGATGCATACGTACGCAGCATAGAAACTCTCACAAGCTAAATAACATTATTTAACCTTAAAAGTAACCTCAAATTCTATATCATGAGCACAAGAAGAGAACACACCCACACACATACACACACTGTGGCTGAAGATCTTCCACCACAGCGGAGGGCCGAAGCCTATAATGTAGTGGGTGATGTAACACGGGCAGTAAAATAGGAACAGATTTTGTGGGACAATAGAGGACAAAAAAAAAATAACACCAAGAATATAAATCCACCCGGAGTTTGCAGGAACTCTCACCACTGAGAAGAGAACACTGATGTTTTGATAGCTACTGCTTAACAGAACCTAAAGTCATGTGACTCCTAAAAAAAAACGACATCCCGCCAGTTGGGTCCTTCAGTTTGCACCAAACATTGAATTTTCCTTTAGTAACATCTTCGTCGTTGTTTAATAAAACTAATTAAGAACATTTTTCTTAAAATTTTAATACAATGTTGATAACATTTTAGCCACCAGTAAATTCCATGATTAAATTCAATCCTTTTAAAAATGTAGACTTCTCTTCTTATGTGGAAATACCCTGATGCTGCAGTTAAACCATGCTCAGATTTTGGAATTAGAAATATTTGTTTGATTCCTAGGGGGAAATTGTTGACATTTTAGGAGTCTTGAGACTTTAGGATGTTTACTTTTTTTGATACAGAGAGTGTAACCAGTATATCAATTCTAAAGCAGTGGCAACAGTAATAAAGAAGCAGCAGGCCAACACTGCCTTATGTATATGGAGAAACCCTGTAATCATGGCATCAATCAATCATCTATAAAATCAACAGGAAAATAAACAATGTGACAAAATGAGTATATCAATTCCTTTTGTTTGTAAAAAGAATCTGTCTACCACAGAAATTTCATAATTATTATTTATATTTTACATTTAATACACTTTAAATGTGGATGCTGCTTGCAGAACAGATAACTGTTGAAGTAATCCTATTTCTAAACTAGCTTAAGAACCCACCTGAAGCAGTCTGAGAAATTCCCTGCCATGAAAAAATGAAATACTTTAATGATATTAGAAAAAAAGTGTCAAAAGGTTTGAGTTTGTTTGAAGAACATTAGTGTCTTTGTGACGACCAGGTCAGAATCACTGCTTCAGTGAGCAGGCACAGCACTTTGGTATGTCATTTTTAGCCCCTGTTATTTTTGCTGAACTGAACAATTAGTAAATTATAATATAAAACAATAACTTTAAATACTCTTCAGAATGATGCAGGCTGAAAACATGACAATAAAAAAGTCCATCATCATTTAGAAGGTGCTATTTCTTCACATCAGAGTGAAGTAATCATTTCTTCTGCTAACTACTTCCTCCGTTATCATTAGCACAGAGTAACAATTGCTTTCTCTGCTCGTCTCTGATCTTTTATGGGTCTTTCTGGGAGGTAGAGAAAAGGGATGGACGGTGAAGATGAATGGGAATTCAAACGTAGCTCAAAGGTCTACCGATTGTACTGCAGCTCTCTGTAGTGAGAGGGAGTCACTTTGACCTCCCCATGGTGAGTGTGGGGAACAGTGGCGGGAGAGGGAGAAAGAGAGAGAGAGAGAGAGAGAAAGAGAGAGAGAGAAGGAGAGAGAGAGAGGACATGGGGACAAGAGGGGGTTCACTCTTTCATCTGTCCGCTGGTTCAAACCTCCAAGCTCTGCACGAATGTGTATGTGTGACTGCACGTGTTTGTGGCTCTGTGTAGGTGTGTGTTGTCCTTACGTGTACATGCCTGAGAGTTGACACATCTCATCCACACCACACTTATGCGGTCATTTTGTTTTATCAAATGACAGAAAAAAATTGTTTAGGTAAAATTAAGTTTAAGTGGATTTTTTATTTGTGATGCAGGGGTTAGGGTAAACACTATTTTCCAAACTTCCTTATAAATAAAAATATACCACATATTATTCATGGTCATACGAGGGCACTGTGCACACAAGTGACAACTGAATGCTGCTACTGCACCACTGAAAAAATACAAAACTAAACCATAAACAACACAAACTTTCTATCTTCCATACAGAACCCTGTTAAAATGTGACCAAAAGAATAAGCCAAACTGCAGACTATAAACTGTAGATTATAAAGGATGCAGCTACAAACAGTAATCGAGCAACAGAAAAAAGTAAAGGACAAACTGGAACTGATAACAGTGAGTCTGAGGACAGCCCAGCAGAAGAGACACAAATGAAGCTTCATCTTCCTCCAGTTGGAAGCAACTCTGGTGCTACTGTGTAAATCAATAGATTTTCCTAATTAAATGCTTATTATTGGATACTTGTGACATAAACCTTTTAATAGATTTATTAGTTTAATTAACAAAGACGAGCAATGATGCATAGTGTGGAAAATACGGTAAGTGTATGAAGGTGTTTTGTGTGTGTGTGTGTGTCACTGTCAGTTTGAGAAAGAGAAACTGTATCTTTTGATGTCACCAATCCAGCACCCCCTATCTTATATGCCACTTCACCCACAAGGTGCCACCCACACCCACCCACCCGACATCCAACAGCTTCACAGAGCGTGTCAGGGGCCTGAGAATGTGCTCCAGTCCAACAACAGGGGTCACCTAAGCTAAGGACACCCCATGCACAGTGTGTGTGTGTGTGTGTGTGTGTTGATGGAGAGTCAGTCTTCAAACACGAAGCACTTCCATCAAAAGAAATCAAAAATGCGGCAATTCCCATGTGTAATTAGTTGAATACATTTTACATTTTGATGTTAAATAACCAATCACTCGATATGTATGGATGGATGTACCATGCATATGCAAAAGACAGACTTGAAACAAGTTCAAAGAGAAATCAGTTGAAACTAAAGTAGTGCAGCGAACATTACACGTTGGTGCCGCTGCCATCAAAAGATCCTTTTACCAGATTAATGGCTTCATATATGAATAATCAGATATGCACTTAGGTTAACAACAGAAGATGAATGCTTTTGATAAAATAGGTACGGAGGATTTGGAGGTTGCAATAAGTTTACCAATAGACTGCAGGTAATAACTGCAGCTGAAAACAAGAAGTCCTTTCAGTTCGTGATGCCACCTGCACTTGACCAATTATGTAAGAGACATACTAGGCCAGTGTAAAAGCATCACTGAAATTATGACATCAGTTTGTCAGGTAAACATTTAAAGCTTTTTTTTTAAATTAGTCTAAGTAATAAAATGATAAAAATGGATTTTTTAAAATTCACCTTATAACAGCAACCCCCTGATCTCTGGAGCTGGACATCTGCAGAAATTGCACTAAACCTTCAATTACATGAGAAAAACAAGCATTTAAACTACATTCTAGTTCTAAATATACAACTACCATAATGTGAGTTGCATTACTACTACGTACTGGTTCTATTTCCTACTACTTTCTTTTAGTTCTTTTAAAGAACTACTATATTTGCATATAATATTAAACAAATTAAAAGTGCATGGAAGCACAAAGACCTTTAGCAGACACATGGCTCTTAGGGCAGAAGTGGTCAGAATGAGACCTATTTGGCGAGACAGAAAAAGACCTTAAGGATTGTAGACTGAGTGCAATGGTCTTAGATTTGAGAAGTGTAAAATAGACCTGCTAAGAAGCACCACAGGAGACAAAGTACAACTGAATAAAAGGTGGTGAAAAGAAAGAGAAGGAAAAGAAACGGCGGGAAACCAATGGACTGGGAGAGCAGAGGTGTGTTCTGTATAGAAAATAAACGTATCCAGCTGTCCCTTGCATCCAGGTCTGCCTAGAGACCCTTCAATCAAACAGCTACGATCAGCCCTGACCACTGCAGCATCCACTGGGCTGCTTTTATTCAACCTCATTCATTCATTCATCCATTTTTCCTCTCCTTCGGTGCTTTAAGCCTACCAATTATCATCAGTTGCCCCAGACGGCCTCTGTCCTTGTTCCTGTTTCAGCTGGCCTTTCAAACAGCCTTGCATTAATAAGCCAGTTGTTACAAATAAAAAAGGGGGCGAGCAGTGATTATTCAAAAAGCCCCCCCTTCTAAGAGAGAGAAAGAAGAAGCCCACATTTCACACCCAGGGAGAGCAAAAGCACCGCCTGCCATTTATGGGGTTGTGTACGGGTCCGGTAGAAAACCAACATGAATAATAATAATTACAAAGGAAAAGAGAGGATATAGATGAATCCAAAGAGATGGCAGTGTCATAAAATAATCATGCAGTTGAGGTCATTTGGGGCACTATAAAAATAAATCACGTGTGAGGAATTATTTGTTTCAAATCTGTTGCAGTGTGTAGTGTGACCAACCCACCTGCACATCTGAAGCTCTGAGCAGTGAGTCCTTTCTCTACAGCCAGACAGGTGAGAATGCTGAGGAAGCTGGTGGTCACTGACTGCCTCTTGGCTCTCTGGGCCTCACGATGCCTCCTTTCTCGAGACGGTTTCGATCTCAACAGCACTCCCTGGAGTGCTGGTGCTGCTTCAGCACTTTCTGCTGCTTCCTCTTGAGCAGACTTCTTTGCTCCTACAACTTCTCGCAGGGCCTCCACCCATTCGTCGGCCTTAAGCTGATAGTCTGCCCTAAGTCGAAGCACCTCTTTGGGGAAAACTACCTGGAAATGTTCCCTTTTATCCCTCCACTGGTCACAGTTTCCTAGTTCTTGCTCATGCTTCACTGCCAGACAGGATGTCAAGGAGTACTGAAGGGCAGGCCGCGACCCAGATGCTCTGTGCTCAGGAGGGAAGGCTTGGAGAGTGGTCCTGGTGAGAACATAGTAGAAGGTCCGCCAGTTGTTCTGGTCCATCAGCTGGTGAAGAAAACCGGCTATTAGGACCTCCTCACTGTACTGACTGCACAAAGGAAGAGTGGTGGGTCTGCTTAAGGTGCCAGAGTTAGACTGAAGGGACAGTGAGAGATCTGCTGAAGTAGGAGTGTCGCTTTCTCCATCAGGCCTGGTGTCCAGCCCTGACGGTGAGGGGGATGAAGAGGCCAACATGGGTGTAGGAAATTTGGCAACCTGTTTGTTTTTCACAGTGGTCTTACACTGGTGGTTCTCCTGCCTCAAAGGTCTGGCCGCTTGCACTTTCTCCCACATCAGTCTCCTCCACTCCATGGCTTCCCATTGGCTGCCCACTCTCAGCTGGAGACGTGTGCTGTTGAAGAACAAAGCCTCGAGCGTACACTGGTCAGCGGGCTGGCTGATCTGGCCACGTTGGCTGCAGGTTGCTGGTGAGACGACATTCTGACAGTGGGACAGAGAGTAGGCAGTGCCCAGCTGACGGTTGGCACTACTGTCTAGAATGTAGAGCCGCAGCTCGCATGGTGTCAGCTCGACGTGACAGGGTGTCCATCGGCCCCGGGGCCCCTCACGCTGCTCCATCTCACCCTGCTTGACCACAAGGCTACTGCTATGTTTATCAGCTGGACAGAAAAGGAAATAGGAAAATAAAGAGAACGCAAAGAGAAATTAAATGTTGGTGTGATATGGGTAAATACAAATCAGAATTTTTAGTTCATAAGTGATCTTAAGTGAAAAAAAGCAAGAATGAAAACATTAAAACCAACAGCAACTAATAAAACCCTTTGTTGGTTAATTGTAAAATATGACCAGAATGAACAGGAATTGACAGATGTTGCTTTTATTCGTTTATTCTCCTGAATCACTTGATGAGAAAAAAGAAAAAGCTGTGACAAATCTAGCAGGGCTTTGTTAACTAAAAGGTGTGGAGTCACGAGCTTCATCAATCTTATCAAAACAGCAGCCGACACTGCACCTCGGACTTTGCATGTTAACAAACCTTTTCACTAAGAGAATAAATGAATATGCAAATATGTTTAAGCAGGAAATAAGTGTTGGTGATTGGCAGTCTTCACGCTTGGTAGGGTGGAAATAAGAATTAGCCACTGTGGCAGAAAAGAAAACTGCTCTGTTTGATTAGATTTCAACTCCACCTGGTGGGTTTTGACATTACACCACAGCAGTGGTCTAATATACATATGTACGCCTTCAAACAGAATTAACAGTTTCCTCTCAGGGCTGAAAACTAACTCTGCACCCACTGCCCCCAAGACAATCACACAAACGTGCACTTCAGCCTCAAAATCGGTAATTTCACCACTGTGACCTTCAAGACATTGTTAACATTGAAGTTTTAATACACGTCAACCCAAGTAAAGCATGATGGATGAGCGTATTAGCAGCACTGGAGAGAAATATCTCAAATAAGTCAGTTGGCATTGTCAGTGATTTGATTATTTAATGTGAACAGACCGATGCGAAATGGTAACTGTGCTCACCTAAAACAGAGTCAAATTTAGAGAGCAGATAACAAATTCCACTGTCCATATTTCTTTATTTTTATTTAGTTATTTCATTAGTTAGTGGTTCCATAGTGTAGCAAATACTGTGCCTGCCTTACAAGCAGAGTGGGGTTCAATTCCCAGATACTATGCATGTGCCTCAATATTTTGTGTGTATAAGTAAAGTGTAATAGCGTGTTTTTCCCTCTTGCTGCTAAAATCACACCCACAACATTATTTTTCAAATTTTCTCCTAGTACTCATTTATATTTTATTCTCTTTCTACTATCTTTTCACTATTCGGGTATAGACTATATCCTATTATTTGTACTTGCATGCATATATGTATATTAATGAGTATGTTCAGGCCTGACACAGAAGCTCTACCCAAATTTCACAGTTCTAGGTGTCACATTTGTTATACTGACAATAAACGTCATCTTAACAGCTCCTAAAACTTGAGTTAATTCAGTCAGGAAACATTAAAGAGCTTTAATGAGAGCCACTATAAACACTGTTTGGTCCCTTACATACACATGTATGGTGTGTGTATAATAATAATCATCATTTCCATTTATAATCTAAACATGGCCAGCTGTCCCTAATGAAAAAGAAAACAGGACAGTTTTTTCAGGGTGAATGGAGACACGAGCCGGAGCCAAATCACTCTGCCTTCTGCTTATTATCTTCCCTTTTCCTACTCTGCTCTTTTCAATACACATCCAGCCAAACTAAATAACCTGATGCCTTTTCACACATATGCTAATACTAAATAATCCTTCCAGTGTCAGGGGCCGGGTAATTGGGTTGCCTCTTCTCTCGCCTCATTTGAGTCCATTTGCTGACAGGATTACAGGCTATTATCCCTCCGGATCCCTCAGGATCTCCTTAGGCCTTCAGATGGCCAACACACACAAACAAGTGTCTGGGTGCGTGTGTGTGTGTATATACACCCACCAACTATCATAGCGCAGCTGTGTCATTTTAAGTTATCATCATCTTCTGTCATTATTGCTTTTTTTAAGGATACTTTAACGTATGTACTGCATACAGTACACCCAGGTCTGCAGCACGACTCCTTCAGTCCTTTCAACAACTAAAAAGTAAAAGCAAAAATATAATGCTAACTAAATCTACAGCAAATTATGCACAGGAAAAAATATAGGTGGATTGTTACATATTCTGAAAGAGACAAATGCAGAGAATGATCCACAACGCGGGTGCCCACACTAATTTGGCTTGGGGCATACTATTCAAATGACCAGGCTAAAGGGAACTATCCACAATAACAATATTAAAGATATATGCACTTTTATGTAACTTACATGTTGAGGTACTGACTAAATGCAGGTAGTCGTACGGCACAAAATTTTTTAATTCTTACAGAATATAGTCAGTACTACACACTACAGAATTATAGTCATTTCCTATAGTACTCCCTTTGCGACCTTGACATGTTGCACATACAATCAACAGAATGTGAAAAAAAAGTCAAGAAAAATTGACAGTTAAGCTACAATAGGTATTTTCATAGCCACAGTCAACAGTTGGCTCATAAAAAACTCATCTCACCTTCTTGATGTTGGTTGAAGATCATGTTCTTCAGGGCACTGCCATCCACTGTAGGCAGTCCATTGTCCGTGAAGGCAGACGGGCGGTAGTGGACATCAGATCTGGATCGGTTGTGTCCCTTCTTAAAGGCAGAGTTGGATGAGGAGTTGGAGGCGTTGATTGTACACTCTTTGCTGTGCGCCGCCAAGTCATTGGTGGAGCGTGCTCGGCTTCTCTTACCGTGCCTAGGGCCCAGGCCAAGGCCTAGTACACTAAAGTTGTCTGCCCATGCCAACCCTAAAGGACCGACCTCCTTCTGTTCACCTGCCAAGAGGCTCCACACTCCGCTGGAGCTCAGCTTCCCCAGTGCAGCATCGGACACTTCCTGCAGTTGCTTAGACTGTCTAGGAGGCTGGATGCTCCTTGTTTGAGCCTGACTGCGACCTTGACCCTGTACTCCATCCATGCAGTGGATAAAGTCCTCTGTAGCCTCCAAGGCTGGACTAATATCACCGACCACATCAAGCTGCTCAAGACCCTCCATGACTTATTCTCATCCAAAGCTTAAAATGTCAAAATTAGGTACTTTTCCTAAACTTGTGCAGCAAACACATGTCCATCACCTCAAAGTTTTTGTCAGCTGCGGGAATGCAAATCTTTAAAGTACAATAATGTGTTAAAAAGTAATGATAGAGATTCAGGAGTAGGCATTCATCCAAAGTTATCCTACCTTTTCCAATAACATATCAATCCATCTTGAGAGAGGAAAGTCTCAGCTCTGACTGGCATCAACTAGGGCCAATTCCACATTGAGCCAATTTAGGCAACAAACAAAAAATCGTTGCCAAACACACACACTGTTCTGCCAAACAAAAGCAAAAGCACAAGTGCTTCACTCTTACATGCAAAAAGAGTCTGAGTGATGGGTAAACAGAGAGAGAATTTCTCACATAAGAGAGAAGAGAAAACTGTATTGCATGGCACTCAGGGCTATGAGCATCAGCTGTGAGGTTTGACTGTCTGCATGGAGAGTTTAAACATTACAGACAAACGTAAGATGGAGTCAAAACAACAATTACTACAGCTGTTAGTTAGTGAAAATACTAACTTAAAATTAGAATAGTGCAAAATAGAAATAAAGTCCTGGGAGGAGAACTCAAAATCCTTGAAGTCATAAATCAGCAACCGATTTCTTCATGGGAGAACTCTGGGTCTGTCAGGTGTCAGTGAGGTCTTCAGAAAGTCCTAACGGCGCATCTGCCACAAAAATAAAACAAAATGAGGAAGTGGTAAAGAGGAAACAAGACAAAAACCACACAGAAAAGACACCTGCCGAAAAATGTAAACCCTATTTTAAACCCATAGTCCAGGCAATCGATAATACAATAAACAGAGCAAGTATATGTTGTTGTTAAGTGGTACAATTTGGAAGGCATACCAATAACAATCACTTCTTACCAAGAGTATCATTTCCACACTGATGCTGTAGCTTTTCCAGATTATCTCTCGGCTAACAAAGACGATCATCCTGCCTCACACGTACTGATGAAATAATACTTGACTTCCGCTTCAGCTGCTTATCACAAAACTGAGCCGGCAGGCAGAGAGCCGGGACCTGGGTGGGGTTCATCATCCATCTGCCTGACTGCCTGTCATGTCTCATTCTCTGCCCTCCTCTGTCTTCCTCTTTTTCTCCGTCTATACGTTCTTCTCTCTCATTAGTGATCTCATTGATTTTCTTCTCCTCTAAAGTGCAGCCTCTTTTACTTTACTCTGGGTATAAATGATTTAAAAGGCCATTACATCACTGCAGTTGAATTCCCAGTCAGCTGACTGAAACACTAATAGTTTCAATGTATTTGTGATCATTTGTTGATGATACAACACATGGACTTAATGCATATGTTGTAATCATTTCAATACATTACAACTCTATAAACATCTTCTGCCTAATGACACTGCATTTTATACAAAAAAAAAAACAACCACAGCATCTGTGCCTTTTAAAGTAATAATTTTATACAAAAATATAAAAGTGCCTTCTACATTTATCAGGTGATTTTTTTTAACATTACTGCGAGCTAAAAGATAAATAGGAAAAAATACATAAAGTGAAAATAACTAAACAGCGCCCTTGGTAATATTATCTGTCTGCAGAATAAACTCTGACCTCACTGAGCATCATCATGTAGACAAGTCATATAGCACCATCATCATACAGTGACACAAGCAATGCTGGAACTACAGATTGCCTAGCAATCATTTATTAATTAACATTAATCAACAGTAATCAACATTTTCGCTTTTTATTCATGAACACAGATCATGTGGCTTTTCTTTTCGCCCTGTCAGTAGGCAATAAACACAGTTAATAAATAAGACCTTTACAGCTACATTCTCAGCACATAAAAACTTCCCAACATAAAAGGAAATGTGCCCCTCTCTCCAGAAAACACTTTGCCTTTATGTTTTTACCACAACTTACAACCTTTTGAGTTGTATTCCAACC